TGCTTGAGTCTTTTGCAGATATTTTTCCAATTTTGCCAACACCATTTGTTAAAAAGGCTGTCGTTCCCCCACTTCACTGATTTCATCTCCTTGTCAAAGAGATTTTGAGACTCTTATCTCACATATTTTGGTAGCCAGGAGGGGCCAGTCTTTGGAGAGAGATACACTTGGAAGGGTCAAGGGACAGCACAGGAGAGGAAGACCCCGAATGAGATGGATTGATACAGTAACTGGGGTAATGAGGGTAGGTGTGTGAGAAATAGTGAGATTGGCTCAGGATAGAGTAGGGTTCAGAGCTGTTGTGCATAGTGTTGTTATCAGTCTCTCGTGACGTGATGGCACATAACAACATAGTCTGTTAGCTAGCATTTTGTTCAGGCTTTCTACATCTATGTTCATGAGGGATACTGGGCTAGAATTTTCTTTTTTGACTGGTGTCTTTTATCCTTGCTTGCTTCGTAGAATGAATTCAAGAGTATCCTATCATTTTCTGTATTTGAAATAGCTTGGGTAGAAATCATGTCAGCTCTTCTCTGAATGTTTAGTAGAATTTGCTGTTGAAGACATGTGGGCCAGTAGTGTGGGTTTTTGACTTTTGGTTTTTTGTGTTGTATGTGTTTTTATAACCTCAATTCATAATTAGCTTTTAGAACATTTATGTTACTCTTGTAGCAACTACTCTGTATTCCAGACACAAACTCATACTGATTTACTTTTTATCTCAGAACTGTTGATTTTTGACTTGGAGCAACTCACTGTGACAGTAGACTTGCCTATAGGGTTTTCCACCTTACAGTATTATCAGCAGGTGTCTGCTCTTCTGAAGGAGAGGTAGGCCTGAATAAGTGGCCTTTTGAGTATCAGCTGATGGCTTAACCATTGAGCCATCAGGGTTCAGTGCTTATTCTAGACATTCTCTAGAAATGAAATTGTGTAACGTGGCCATTTGTGACAGTCTTGTTTCTCTTAGTATAATGTACCATTGTCTGAATAGAGTGCATTTTGTTTATCCATTCATCAGCTGATGGACATTTGGTTTGTTTCTATTCTGGCTACTGTGAATAATGCTGTTGTCAGCATTTGTGTATAGGTTTCTGTATGTGTTTCTTTTACATAAGCCTGGAGTGATGAAATTGCTAGGTTGTGTGTTAATTGCATAAAGGGGTAGTTTTGTTTCATCCTCATAGGAAGGAGGCTGCAGGAATAGGTGAAGTCATCAACAAAGTGAAATCTGAAGGAGGGAAGGTTATCGTGAATGAAATTTTGGAGAGGGTTGCTCTGCATGAAATTTTGGGGACCACCTACACCTTACAGTGGACTTGGGAAGAACTGGGCAGGGCCAGAGAGATGCAAGAAGTTGATCTTCTTTTAAAAAAAAAAGTAATTCCACTTTATCTCTGCTTAACATCCCCACCCCCACATTCATACACCAAAAAATGGTCTTAAAGCTGAATCCAGGAGTATTCCATCATTTTCTGTATTCTAAATAAATTAGGTAGAATTCATGTCATCTTTTCTGACAGTTCTTTTTAAAGCTGAATTGTCTCTGGAAGTGTGATAAGACTAAGTATGGATGGTATTTCTAAAAAGGATACATTTCCTTGTCTTTGTATATCTCTAGCACTGTCCTCTTATACAAAAGTTTCTCTCTCTTTGCTGCCTTTTGGGGTTCCGTTTATCAGCTCTCCTGACCTTCTTAAATTTTATAGAGCAGCATTCTGTCATTTCTACCATTTGTATTATAGTGCAGCTTGACATCCTTTTACCCTTTTAGGGAGGATTTCGTAAAAGCATGAAGGGCACTCAGGATGTGAACATGATGTAATGTCCATCAGAGATTGAGAAATCAGGAGAGCAGCAAAATCGTCCAAAATGAAATTTCTTCCATTTCTTCAGGCTTGTGTGGGTCTCCTTATGCTTTTATCCAAGTTGCATGGGGGACCTTTATGTTTAAGGAGGAAAAAGTACAAAACCCCGGAATACTCAAGGAGTAATGACTTAGGAGAAGAGCTATGCTTCTTTCTTTTTTCTTTTTTTTTTAAACAATGACAGTGTGCTTCCCCAGATAATTAGGGGAATAATGAAAATAGAGACAGAAGGAACAGAGTTGTAAAGATTTATGCAGTGTGTGAGAAATTCCCTTCTGTTTTCTTCAAAATGTCAATGTGGACATTTGTGAAAAGGTGAAGCATCTCAACAGTTGAAGCAATTTGGGACCATCAATGGATTTAACTTGCATGTATTGCATTTATTTGGGGGAGGATGTGAACATTAGAAAGTGGTAGGATTAGAAATAGAAATTGGCTGGCTTTAGTAAATGTTTCTTTCTGTGTGCATTTGGACTGGTTAAAACTCACTGCCATTAAGTCAGTTCTAACTCATGGTGACCTGTTGGGTTTCTGAGTCTGTAAATCTATATGGGAAGACACTGCCCATCTTTCTGCTCCAGAGCAGTTGATGGGTTAGAACCACTGACCTTTTGCTTAGTAGTCCAACATGTAAAATACTCTACCACCACAGCTTCTTGAAATGAATACCTTCAATTAGTCCTTGTTTTGAAGTCCTGAGTACTTTCCATCCTCTTTATCCAAATTGGTAGGGGTAGGGCAAGCATCAAGGATGAAGGCAAACAGCAGTGTCACTTTGACTAGCCAGTTTCTGTCTCTGACAAAGTGGATTTTGTTCAGAAAACGGCATTAAGGCCTGCAGACTCAGCTTATGGATGTACCATTTTCTAGCTGTGTGTATGTTGACCACTCACTCAATTAACTTTATTAGCTACTTGTTGTTGTGTACCAAGAAGTGGGAACTGACTCAAAACCCTTCAGTGGGTTTTTCGAGGCAGTAAATTGCATGGGAGGAGGTTGCCCGTCTTTCTCTGTCAGAACCTCCATTGAATTCAGACCTCATTCCTTTGGGTTGGCAGTGCAGTGTCTTAACACTGAGGTTATGAGCTCCCTCATAATTTAGATAGAAATAACTCAGTGAATAAACCATATTCCAACCACCCTGTGGAAGAAATGAAACATGGTAGAAGCTTTTTTATACCCTCTCCTTTGTGTCTCACCTGTCTTTGTAATATTTTAGGCAGGTCACTTTTAACTTCCTCAGGTGCGATGTTAACTTCTATAATGGGGAGCGTGATAACGGCTCTACTTAAATCACAGAGTTGTTGTGAGCACATGGAAAATCTCAAGGTGTTGGGTTAAGGAATGTTTTTTCCCTGTAAAAGTAGGTAGAAGTAGAGCTGTTCTACTAAAGAGCTGGTATCTTGTTCTAGATTGGGCAGCTATAGTGCAGGTATTTTATAAGCAGTAAAAGAATGTAGGTTTGTTTTCTCCATATCCTCCTTTCAGAGTTCCTGAAGAAAAGCTGTTGTGTTGCGTTCTTCACAGGGAATATTCATTCATTCACCGGGTATTTTCCAAGTGCCTAATGTATGTCAGGTACATGCCTACAATGTCTGCACTAGACATTGGTGATTACAGTAGTGAACGAAGCAGGTAAACTTATGCCCTAAAAGCAAATAGAAAATCACTTTTGTTTTGTCATGTATATGCTTTCATATTTTTGTTGTTGCTGTGTACCATTGAATTGGAACCAACCCATAGTTGATCTCCCAGCAGGTTCTCAGAGGCAGTAAATTGCACAGGAAAAGATTGTCTTTCTCCCATGGAGCAGCAGCCAGTGGATTCGAACTGTGTTCCTTTGCTTTGGTAGCACAGTTTCTTATCACTTAAGCCACCAGAGCTCACGTTTCACATTTAGACCTATCTTGTTTCTATCTAGGTTTACTGACCCTTTTGATTTAAATAGAGAATTAATTATAAGGCAGAAATTCACTTGAGATAAGTTTAAAATGATAAAAGTTCAAGGTGTTTTTTTCCCTAGAACCCAGTTTGTCAAGGAGACATTTTTACATAAAGTGGTAACATTTGATGTATATAGCTTTTCTTATTTTAGTTAGTTAGAGCTTAGGGAGCTTTCTTCTCTCCTGTCAAGCTTTTAAACTTTTATCCCTTCCTTTGATTTGTGTCAGGGTGAACCGTTTGATGTAAAAGACTTGGCTCCATAATCTGCATCTGCCCTAATGCTGTCATCCGGAGTAGAGACTCAGCCAGTTCCACTTGGTTCCTCCATGTCTGCTGTGGTACAGGAATTATACTCTGAACTCCCAGGGAGTGTCTCCAAAGAGCTTCACGGTGACTGTGAGCCAAGTGGGATTCCAGATGTAAAACCCGGAACCTCCAGGGCCCTTAACAGTCAGAATAGGACATTGCCCTTGGAACAGCAGAGGACTCATGTGGAAAGGTGTGGCGAAGAAAAAGCGGAGACCTTGGATGATGGGGGTGAGCTTGGGTGGTGCGGGCTGGTGGACTCCACAGCAGGAGGCTCTGTGACTTCTGGGATTTTGGATAGGGAAGCAGAAACCAAGGGCATGGAGCTAAAGGTCTTCAGAGATCAAGGGAACCCGGAAGAAGTTGTAAGACACCCCAGTGAGGGAACAAAGGAAGACCCCAGTCAACATTCCACAGTTGCTGAAGAAAAGATCAGCCCAAGTCAGGTAAGAAATAAGATCTTGATTTAATTGAATGGATATGAATGACAGCTTTCCAAAGTAACCCTTCACTTTATAAAATGACAGTTAGTTCATGACTTAATCTTGGAATATTTAAAAAATAGTGATTTGGGTGCTAACTTTCTCTTAATATTATTATTAAACATTTGTGTCATACTAGAAGAGGAAAAAAATCACTTCTCAGAAGCAGCAGCAGTATTTGAGATGTGCTGCTTTCTTGGGATAGGCCTGTGAATGCTAAGAAATGATGGGTACTTATCTTTTCAGTTTGGGAGTATTATAGTTAGGGTGGAGTGAGATGTCAGCCAGAATCTCTTGAGAGGAGAATGATTTCCTAAACTGGATTCCCCAGAGGAATCACTGCATGTTAGGAATTGGTCCTTAGCTTTGCTGATCCAGAAACTTGACTTCTTATTTAATAGTTTAGGATTGATAGTCTTCAAAGGACTGACCTGCACTAACCCCCCTCATGAGAAACTAAAGTAGAAATCAGAAGGTCTGTTGCATTAATAGATAATGAAAAATGGAATAGGGATTTGGAAGAAATGATTATGCTAACTAGTGTGCCAGCCTGTGTTCTTCCTGTAGACAGATGTACATGGTGGGGATGAGGGACTGATTTGTCTTGGTGAACTTGAGATTTGAGTAAAAGGACTTAGTTAAATGAGTTGAAGGGTTAGTGAGTTTGGATCCTATTGGACCCACATTCCTAAAAGAATGTGTGTATCTAGTTGATAAGAAAACATACTCTCTGCTAAGTAATACCCTAGACCACGGATCAGGAGGTGTTTTCTTTTTCTCTTCTGGTGAATATATGCAAAGCAGATAATAAATCCATTCAACAGTTTTTCCATACAAGTCAGTGGCATCTATTACTTTCTCCCTGTTGCGTTCTGGTACCCTGCACAGATTATTAGATTGACTGGATTTACTGCTCTGTAAACTACTTCTGTTTGCTTTAGAATTAACTGTTCTTAATTTGATCTCATATAATCCTTTTAAAGAATGCATTGCTCACAGACAAGCATTCCTGAGTCATTCAGTTAAACTGTTGTTTACTTTGATTGGCAAACATTTTTGGAAAAAAAGACCACATTAAAAACAAAAAACTAAAAACTTTTATCTCCAGAGGTTTCCCCCCCAAACACCTTATTTAGGTAGATAACATAGTTTAAGAGTAGCCTGTATCAAGAATGGTTGTATTCTGGGTTTTCTTAACACATAAGTGAATAGAATCTTTAAAAAAAAAAAAACCAACCCAAACCGCTTAAGTATTTTAAGCTGTGTTGACCCTGTGATTTCTGTTGGGACTAGAGACATCTCCTAAATTACAAGCAAACTCTGGTTCTAAATTTGTTTTAAGTTGGATTTATACATGAATTGAAATAGTTAGGTACACTTTGTATGTAATCATAATTAGTCAAAAATACTTTTCTTAGTGTATATGTGCCTTTTATAAATTAAAAATAAAGGTACACACTTCCGGACATACTAAAACATCTTTGACATAATAATACAGTAGTAATAGTAATGATATTTTGATGTCTAAAAGTAGCATTTGTTTGCTGTTATAAACCATTTTATGTAATGCAAAATTTTAATATAATGGGCTTTATGGAATTTGGGTTGATTCTTTAATAAGTAAATTGGATTCTTAGTGTATTAAATAGATACTTGAATATTTGTAACCTGGGGGTGGTGCTCTGCTGTTGTAATACGAAACCAGCTTTTGACAATAATGTAAACAAATGTTCCAGTAAAACTTTATAAAAATGTTGCTGACCATTAGCCTGTAGTTTGCTGGCCCCTGCCCTAGACCCACTGATAAGTTGAAGCTCTCAGGGTTTCCTAGTTTACATAAAGTTCTAATCCTCACTTGATAAATACATAGGCTACAGGGCAATTGATTGTATACTAATTAGAAATGAATGGAGTTTTATGGTAATAGCTTAGGATGTTATGTTATTAACTCTTACTTGTGGTGACCTCACATTATAAATATAAACAGTTATATAAGTAAAATAACAGATCTGGATCTGAAAGTTCTTGACTTCTTGATATGTAAGCTGAGTATGTATATTTAAGTTGTTGCTGAGTTCTACCTGGTCAAAAATGACCCATACCTGACCCTCGAGTGGGCTTTCAAGAGGCATTAAATTGCACGGGAGGAGATTGCCCATCCTTTTCCCTTGGAATCCACCAGCAGCTGGTGGATTTGAACCACATGCCTTTGAGAACACATATATATCACCTAATTTGAGAACTAAAAGATGATTGCCTCCTTCTTTTTTCTTAAAATTGATATTCTTATCCCGCTCCACTAGGAGTAAATGTGGTTTTGAAATTTGATAGATAGAGATGTAGCATTTTACCTACAGTAGCAAAAAGCTGCACTGCAATCCTGAAGGCACGTGGCTTCAGTCCACCAGATGCTCCACTGGAGAAGGCGGAACAATCTCAACAACAGAGGAAAGGCACATAACAACAAAAAGAAAGGTAGCATTTTGTATGTGGATCCAAAAGGTAAACTATTGGGTATGGAGAGGTAGAGGTAAGGTATTTATGGGGAAACAGAAGACCTACAGATTTTGTTTGCTCATTAGAATGGAATTTTATACATCAGGTGAATGCTATTTAATTTTGGTTAGCCTACAAGTAGGGTAATATCACAGTGTCTTATGTAAGAGTATATAAAAAATCAGGAATGTGTTCATGGCTAAGAGTTCACACCCACATGACACAACCTGAAAATAGGCCATTGGAGACCGAGTCACTGTGTGTCTGACTTAAGAAAGAGAAGAAATGAGAAAATCGACAAGTCTTGGGAGGAAGGCTGCCAAGCAGAAATGTTGGGCAGTTAAATATGGAGGAGAACTTGGGACAGCAGTAACACTTAATCATTGTGAGGTCACAGAATCCTGTGGAAATCTAAAAGCTGCAGGCCTCTCAAAAAAGCAAGCATGCCATTTATATACCATTTCGTAAGGATCTCAGATCCCTTGAAATCTGTCTTTCAACCTCAAGGTAAAAAATTACTAGATTGGCTGCGGGACAGTTTTACGCTGGTCTGTATGGTTGCTGTGAGTCAGAGGTGACATTTTGACAGTGAATTTGGTTTTGATTGATTTTAGGTAATTTTGTCTATTTTTGTTCTTTGAATTAAAGATGAACTAAAACCCAATATAAAAATAAGGAAAGACTTGAACAGACTATATATGTGCACACACGTTTGCATATGTAGAAATTGCCCTTAAACATGAAAAGATTATTACTCTCACTCATAATTAAAGAAATGCAAATTTAAGTAACTGGATATACTACTCTTTTTTTATCCTACCAGTATTGAATGTACCATGGACTGCCAAGAAAACAAACAGATTCATCATAGAGAGGATTAAACCAGGCTGCTCCTTGGAGGCAAGGATTCTGGGACTTCGTCTGACATACTTTGGACATGTTGTAAGGAGAGACAGGTCTTTAGAGAGGGACATCATGCTGGGTAGAGTAGAGGGACAGCGCAGGAGGGGAAGACCCTCTATGAGGTGGATTGATTCAGTGACTGGGGTAATCGGAATGGGTGTGTCAGAGGTGATGAGATTGGCACAGGATAGAGCACAGTTTAGGGCTGTTGTACATAGGGTCGCTATGAGTCGCAAACGACTCGACGGCACATAACAACAACAACCAGAGTAATGAGAAAGAAAACATTTGCTAGCAAGACTTGTGAGGTGACATGCTCATACCTTGCTGGTGGAAGCACAGACTGATGCAACCCTTCTGAAGAGGAATTTGAAAAAACCTAAAAGACTATCTGTCTTGACCAGTTGGCTTACTACTTCCATATCTAGGAATCTTTCCTGAAAGGAATACCCATAAGAGTATGGAAAATACATAGACACCAGATTAACCTTTGCATTATCTAAAGATAATGTATTGTTGATCATCGCTATCGATTCTGATTCATGGTGACCCTATGGATGCAGCATAGAGCCTCATGAATCCATCATAGAATTGCTCTGTAGGAGTTCTAGGGCTATAATCTTTGAGAAGCTATCACCAGGCTCACTTAAGTGATGCTTTCTAGCTACTATCACTGTTATGATCTCAGAGTATTGAGGGTGACCTAAATGTCCACATATCAGAGATGTTGCTAGGTTTCATCTAGTCATTTCTGCCCTGTGTACACAGCTAAGCCTTGCCTGATCTTGCACCCTCCTTACAACCTCCACTGTGCTCAAGTCCGCTGTTGCGCCACTGTATCCCTCTGTCTTGTTGAACAAATTATGATGCAGTCATACAGTAAAATAGATACTCCACAGTTGTAATAAAAGTGAGGACTCTCATGTGTTGTCAGGAGTATTAGGCTGCCAAGAGCACCTCAAAGTTCAGTGGCATATGAGGAAGACCCACTGGGCTTGGCATATAGTTTTAGCTAAGAGGCACAATGAAAAGCATCATTTACAGAGCAGAATGCAAAATTGTTGTTTTGTTGTTATATGCTGTTGAGTCGCTTGCGACTCATAGCGACCCTATGTACAACAGCCCTAAACTCTGTTCTGTCCTGTGCCAATCTCATTGTCTCCAACACACTCATCCCAATTATCCCAGTCACCGAATCAATCCATCTTCTAGAGGGCCTTCCCCTCCTGCGCCTGCCCTCCACCCTCCCAAGCATGATGTCCTTCTCCAAGGACCAGTCTCTCCTTACAACATGATCAGAGTATGTCAGATGAAGCCTCAGATTCCTTGCCTCCAAGGAGCAGCCCAATTAACCTTCTCCAAGATGAATCTGTTTTCTTGGCAGTCCATGGTACTCTCAAAACTCTTCTCCAACACCAAAGCTCAAAGACATCAATTCTCCTTCTATCCTCCCTAGTCGTTGTCCAACTCTCTGACGCATAACATGTGATTGCAAAGACCATGGCCTGTATCAGATGCACCTTAGTCTCCAGAGAGACACTGTTGCTCTTGAGTACTTTAGAGAG